GCAATCCCCATCCAGATGGGCAGAGGTTGCCCCCAAGATTACCACCAGACATACAAGCAGTAAACAATACCTTAATCAAGGAACTACCAGAGGGAGAAAAAAAAATAGATCAAAACCAAACCCACATCCCCACCAACACTGGCAGGGCAGGCCACTGTATACAAACAGAAAGCAAACCCCGTCCCATTCTAGCCCTGAAGATGTTACCTAGCTGGGTAATGAAACGTTTGCAAGAAAACAACCAAGCTCAGAGAACCCCAAGGGCTCCACAGTATCCTCTGCCTTTTTAAGGGCGGCGTCCAAGGGGCCAAGTCAAAGTCAGTGTTCCTCAGAAACAGCACCAAAGCTGTACACGAAGCCAACATCGCAGGATCCAGGGAAGCAATACCTTTGGCCTCGTGTCTACAACGTACATGAACCGGCTCCCTGCATTGGCTTCCCGAATGGCCTGCAGCAGCTGTTCATCTTCCAGGCAGCGCGTGGTAAACCCGGACAAAGGCTGGCTGCATCGGCAGATGGCGGCCTGAAATACAGAGCATTTGTAGGATGCAGCAGGCGAGACATTCAGAACGGACCGCCGACGTACCAGCTCTTACTTCTCAATGTGGATGCAGCTATCACAATGCTAGAGAGAGGGGTTTACGTGGACGCATGTGAGTATCAGAAACATGTTTGGGGTAAGGTGTGTACCACAAAGCGATGCAATTTGGAAAGGGAGCCCTTTGGAGCGGATTTTCCCCCACCCCCCAATCATGGGAGGCTTCAAATAAAATGTCTACATAACAAGTCACCTCTTTTCAGAGGAGTGTTGTTTTGTTTCCTCCTTGTTTTGTTGTGTCATCGCCTTGTATTTATTTGCCACCAATATGGGGAAAATGCTGAGTGAAAAGAATGCAATTGAACCAAACACTGGAAAAGGGAAATTTCCCCTGGAAAACTAACTCCGTTGCAAAGTCATTTTGCCCAGCCTTGAGGTGAGAGCACTGCAGAAACAGTAAAGTTAGCAACAAAACAGCTCAGCATTTTATTCCACAATAAAAACTAGTTCCTCAATCAGCCAAGTAATAAAAGAGATTATCTGCTCCAAGCTATTTCCCCAGGGTTCGAAAAGCTGAGATTAGCGGAGATAAGATGTAATTAGTTGAAGACTGCCCAGTGTAACTAGTTTTGAGGATTGAAAAAGCACAAGATGCTTCTTAGGTTGTTCTAAATGGAAAGTTGCCATCTAGATTGTCACAAAATTGAACTTGATCGTACATATTCCCGTAAGATCCAAAGAAGGGAGTTGCTGCAGTCAGCTGAAATGCTAACAATCAACTGCCCTCTCCAAAATTCAGTGACCATAAAGAACAATGGACATAGCTGGATTCAAGACACCTCCATGCATTAAAAGATACAAAACCTAACATGTTATCTTCCAAGTGCTGATGATGTCTTTAGCACATGCAGATGTCTTGAATCCAGCTCTGCAATGCTTCACATTTGATTCAAAAAAGGTGTTCTGGGACATGGCTGCTTTAACTTGTTACAGCTGCTTTAATAATGAAGAAAGACACAGCTATTTTAATGAGACTTTTTGGGGGAGGGTGCCTTCGAGTCAGCTTTTGACTCCTGGCAACTGCAAGGACTAGTCCCTGCAGTTTTCTTGGCAAGGTTTTTCAGAAGTGGTTTGCCTTTGCCTGCTTCCTAGGGCTGAGAAAGAGGGACTGGCCCAGTCACCCAGCTGGCTTTGTCCCTCAGGTGGGACTAGAACTCACAGTCTCCTGGTTTCTACCCTGGTGCCTTAACCACTGCATCAAACTGGCTCTCAATAAGTCATAAGTGCTGCATTTAAACTCCTATGCACGCCAAAGCAACTCTTCTAAATCAGATCCAAGGCAATGCAGAGCACAGACCTACCAGACATAACAAGTAATATTTCTGCAGTTGCCTCCTGTGAGTTTTGTCACACAGGCCCCAATCAATACAATTCATCTGGTGCCATCACAAAACAGCTACAGCACCACCTCAGTTCATTTCATCCCCAACCTTCCTTCCCAATGTTTGGGCTGCTGCGACCCAGCTAAAATCCCAGATTTTAGGACCCTGAATTTAGGTATCAGTTTCATTTTCAAGACTCCTTTGACGTTTTATTCATCATCAGTCTCCATGAAATTCCAAAAACAGGCACTATGTAGCCATCAGGCACAACAACATCAACAACTAAGCTTCAGCTAGGTCATGGCTGAGAACAGTTTGCTCAAATATTGCAAAATGTTGCCAGGGAGAATTCCATATTTAAATGATATTGTCCTTGTAAAAATAAAACCCTTCCCCTACAAGAAAAGAGATTCTAGCTAGCAAGAACTGTGCAAAGGGAGTCCCTCTGATGTTAGCTCCTACTCACCACTAACATAGAACATTTCTACCTGGAGGACTATTCAAAGCTGTGATTCCCTACCTGTAATGGGATGTGGGAATGACCTTGGGAGACAGGAGGAAGAGCCCCAGACTAGGCGTGGTCAGATAAGAGGCAGCTGAGCCCACAGAAGGAATGGGGGTGTGGAAAGTGTCTTAGACAGGACCCTCCCTAGTTTCTAGGGCTGTAAAGGTGAGGGGGGAGAAATGTCCTTTCAGACTTGCAAGATTCTGTTGATGTAACCTTACAATAAAGACAGATCTAGTACTCCTTGATGGGCTTCTTGTTTGGACTACCTCGCAAGGCTGATGCTGTCTATCACTCATTCCACTCGCTGCCCTCAAATATACCATCTCGTAGAAAAAGGACAGTTTTCCAAAGGCGTCCTGTTAAACAAAGTGACTTTCCCTGCTTACACGGGAAAGCTGGGGCAAAAAAAAAAGAGTAAACCCACAGAAAGCAAAACACAACATGACTAACGTTATTCTCTTTGTAGAAGTAGGAAAGCACAGGTATCCGACCTCGGCTTCGAAACTTCGCGCTTCCCAAGATCATCGCCCTAGTAGCGGCTTTCGGCACAACCAGTTCCCGAGAATAGGTGCTGCAAACCTAAGACAGGGAAAGAAACGAAACTACCTTCAGTTATTTACGGATGCTGTCTTCACTTGCAAAACCTTTTCTTACAGATTTTCAACTGAGCAGAGGCGGATAATAACCGACCCGGCCTCGACAGCGGACCCCAAGCGGGTGCAAGCTCACCTCGTAATCCCTGTTGGCATCGCTAATTTCCCAAGAGCTGTTGGGAACGCCCATCCGCTGGTAATCCACTCTGACACCTATCGACTTCCAGCCTGCTTCTCGGCTGCCTTCGGGCGTTTTGGGGTTGTAAGAGAAGGCGTAAAGTTCTTCAGGTTTCACTAAAGCACAAAAGCGATTTTGAAAGGCAAAAAATCAGCCGTTTAGGCATTAAAAGTCTTAAAAATCAACCCTGCATTGCAGTGACGTTAGAAGTGACTTCTTCCTTTAACTTCTATTGCACTTGATCAGATTTGCATTTAACATTTCCCGCAGAGTTAAAAATAAACCTAGAAGTTGCTAAGCTCCGAGACAAATTTGCCAGAGCCCTTTCAGTGATTGCACATATGAATACCAACAATATTTTGTTATAAAATAGGGTTTTTTGGGTAAAGATTCTATGCACAGTTATTTAAAGATAACTGGATCGGACTTCAAGACACTCTGCGATCCTTCCTGAATGGACACTTAAAAAAAAACACTTTTCTGTTTGGCTTCACAGACTGGGAAACTGAACAAGCTAGGGCAGTGTTTCTTATAACCTTAGCGATTTTAAGATATGTTCTGTTCTGTTTAGTTTTTGGAGAGTTATTCTGCTGATAGATAGATATACGCAGACCTGGCCTTCTTAACAGTTTATTTCCAACTAGTTGCAGGAAAAAAAAACATTGTGGTTGAAGACCGTAGCATACCACCTCCATACTGTTGCCAAGAAAACAACAGGGCCATCAGGTAATCTTCAGCTGAGCTTGACTTGGCTATTATTTTTCTTTACACTTATACAGTGGTACCTCGGGATACGAACTTAATCC